GCCAAGTGCTGCCAAGGATTCCTTCATTGTTCATTCTTAAGCATGTAAAAGTTGTGATGTATAAAAACAGAAACTTTTACCCATGCTTATGAACATTTTGGAGACAGGAAATTGGCGATGCAGAGGTGGAGGTGGAAGCCCGATTGTAGAAATTGTTGAATATTTTTTTGGCACACGCAATTTCCGTATGTAGATTTTTAGTATAGACCCTAAGTGTTGTTTTATAAATGAGACCCCAGGTGATTGAAATCATTAAAAACACTGAAAATGTTTACAAATGAGTGTTCCTTCGATGCTGTTTGGCATGTCGCAGACAGGCCACTAACCACCACCTGCTAGTTTGTGCTCACTGTTTATCTCAGATAATTTACAACCCAGGTGTTCAGGTGGTTTTTACCGGGAGCAGAATTATCCACAGAGGTCTACTTCTCTCCAGAATAAACGGACACAGAAATTTAAACCGGTAAAAACACTGAATAAAGCAGTTTCATGTTAAAAATCAGTGTTTTTCAGATGCAGTTTGGCTCATTGCAGAGGGGATGCTAACGATGCAAAAAGGCAAATGGCCCTATCTCAAGCCAGTGTTTGGTTTGTCCATTATGGGTTACTATAGAAACACAGTGGTGCAACATGGCCGACTCTGTGTCATATTACCTTTCATTTTTGCCAATATATCCCCCTAAATCCAACACTCTGGACCTTTTAAAGAAAAATGCTGAAAACCATTATAAATGAAACAAAAATGTATCACCTGAGACATGTTTAAATATGATTTTCCTGGCAATATAATGAATTTATATCACTGGATGATCCCTGACTGGAGGTTACACCTTAAGATCTATCACTACCCCATCTCTCCCTTCCCCCTCCCTGTGTCCCTTCAGGTTTTATCCCATTGTACACTACACTTGATCTATTTCCTCCGGCTTTCATTTCCTCCTTCTTTTCTCTCACTTGTTCTCTCCCCTTTCACTTCCTCCATCTCTCTCCCCTTACTCTTGGCATCTCTCTCTGCACTCCTTATCTGTCCTCCCGTACCCTATATAGCATTACGGTTGTATCTCATTGTAAAGGCAGAGCCATTTATAGGCTGCTGGTTATTGGTTGAGAAGGGGGTGGGGAGGGAGAGAGAGAAAAGGATGGGGGAGGGATTTTCACATAAGCAGCAAATAGTACAGTATATTTGCAGAGACTGTGCTGTCGAGAGGAGCAACAGCGTTACTTGTTTCAGCAAATGCCCCAAAGCGTCATGTTTACATTCAAGTGACAGACCTCTTTCACAGCCCTAATAATTATCACAGGGGCAAAGGAGGAAGTGAGGAGAGTGAGCTCCGCTAACCTTGAGGAAGTAATGATTTCATCCCAAACTATGATGTTTCCCTTAACCCTTCATTTTGTCATTTCATTCGTATTTTGTAGGATCTGTTGTATTTGAAACACACCTGTCACATATCATTGCAAAGTGGACAAATTGCTGACATGTGCTTGGTGTTAAAGTGTAATGCTGGCAATATTCTACATTTTTGTTATTGTGAACAAATTAAAATTTGAAGTTACATACTTAATCTTAAGTTGCATAGGTTTAGGTTTAGGCAAGAAAAGTTAGCTTAGGTTCAGGAAAAGAAACATGGTGATGTCGTACATGGGACATAATCACCGGTCTCCTGGGGAAAAGTCCTGTGTTTGTTTAACCTCAACCTCAACCTGCCTCCTTACATGGACTTTCACTCTTCACATTATGTGAGCTATATACGAATTACTGGCTCGTGAATACATGGGTTATAAACGTGTTGGTGCATTGCTTTTTGTAGTAATATGTACAAACAATGCAGAAGAACAGCCTGAATGGGTGACTTCATTACCATGGATATGACGTGATCTGGAGTTTATTTTAAGGTCCATACAAAGCATCTTGCTGCCTTTAAATGACACAAGACTACCACATTTGTGTTCATCCACAGCTGAAAATAGTCCCCAAAAATGTATCCTGCAACAATTAATTTTTGGTGCATGTTTAAAGATTTACATGTCCATTAGGAACCAGTGGGTTTGGGACTGAGTGCCACAGACATGGGAGAAAAGATGGACCAACACATTGTCGGTTTGGTCTTTCTGTTAGGTTTTGTTGACAATACTTAAAAGAAAAACACACCTTGACCTTTCCACTCTACATCATCACTGTAAACAGTGCCAAATGCAAACTGAGTGGGATATTAATTTAGATGCAGAGGAGAAGAAAGAGAAAGCGAAAGACTGAGGCAGCAGTGTGCAGAGATTGAGTGAAAAAGAAAGAGAGCGGCAAAAGCGGCAGAATGAGAGGAATAGGAAGAAAGGAAGACTGAAGGGAACTGAGAGAGAGCGACATCCTTTCTCCTATATAAAGACTGCAAGTGTGCACAGGATACAGAGAGAGACAGAGAGAAAAAGGGAGAAAGACAAGAGAGTAGCAAAGCATGCGAGTGCGCAGAGGAGACAGGGAGAGAGGGAGTGATAGGAGCAGGCAGTCAGGCAGAGCAGTGCAGAAGAGGGAGGGAGTGTGTGAGAGTGTGTGAGAGTGAGAGGGGCGGGGGGTGAGCAAACACGCTCTGCACGTGATCCAATCTGTTCACATGGCCTTGTATTACGCCATTATAAATACTTAATGTGAGGTGCTTCACGCCGTGAAACCCCTCACCTTTTAACTCGGCATGGATTTGAAATGTGGGCGCCGTTTTCCAGGTCTGAAACCCGGAGTTCAGAGACCTGCAGCAATATTTGATAACAGCAACAAAGACGAAGAAGACTACATAATTGTGAATCCCTTGAACAGTGTAATGCAGAAATAATGCATCAGAGCATGTTGGGCTCTGTTGTCTTTCATCGGAAGCGAGCTGAAGATGTCATCTGCTCTCTGAGTCCCTGCATTATATAATGATGGATAGGCCTGCGCTGCTCCACTCTTCTCTCCTACAGATGCATGAATCAAACTCGGGATGTGTCCTAAATATAACCCTAGTGTGTATAGGCCAGCTGTAGCCCTACTCCAGCTGTATTTCCACAAAACGTCAACCTGATTAGGTCTCTGTACAGCAGCCTGGCTGCAGAGGGGGGTTATGGATGAGGTGGTACAGTGAACTGGGGTTTCTGGATTGTGGCAAAGATGAGTGATTGTAGCATAACGTGCTGTCACAGCCGAGCTAAAGGAGAGACTGGAGCTGGAGGGGAGAAAGTGATCATACCAAATATTTAAAAAAAAAATGCTTCTGCTTTGTAGAAAGGTCTTTGCTAAGGATATGATGTGTGTCAACTGTGCAGCCGTTGATGTGATGTGATGTCAGGTCATGTTATGTTAGGACACATGTCAGGGTTATGTCATGGCATGTTATGGTGTAGCATGTATGCTGTATGATAAAACAGCATCTAACCAGGGCACCTGAATGCACATCAAATGAAAAATTCATACACAGTACATATATGTAACATCCTTTGAAAAAGGAATCTTATTTGAAGGTAAGAACAGGCTTGCACATATGAGTCCAAAATGGCCACAGTTTTTCTTATATTAGATGTCAAAAACTGCATTTTTTAAATACAAACAGGCACACATTTCCCATGAGATCTGGTTGTATGTGGAAGGGCGTTGGTTTCGTTTTAACTCTGGGGCAAGACACAAATGAAATACAGTGTTTTAGGAGCCTCTGCCAAGAAACAACTGAGCATTTAACACCAGTATGTGCCTTTTATGCATCAGTGTGTAGTGTAAATGTCTTTAATTTTGCCAAAATAAAAGTCCTCTACTACTTTCATATTTTATTTGGGGGGACAAATGCACATGTTCTGAATACAGCGAGTGACCGAGTCCCTTGCGTCCCCCCTAAAATTCATGTCCATCTATGTGTATGTGTGAGCTATAGCATGATACATTTGGTGTATGTTTTAATGTGGCTATTTTATAATCTGTGCATGACACCCAGCGGATGTTGAACTGGAAGACACATATTGATAGTATCTGTATTATGAGATGAGATTAGAGACTGAATTATGCATATTTTAATTATGATTGTTTGGTATTATGTGGCGCAGCAGCATTGGATTTAACAGGGTTTGGTGAGACATGGTACGGTGGGCACGGTTTGGTATGTCGGTATACGCACCATCTATCTGTCACACGCCTCTACGTCATTAACGGGAAACGTAGGTGTCGCTCATAGTACCAGTACTACACACACATCATCAAACACACGCCTACATAGCCAGGCAAGCCCCTTAACGTACGAACACACACGCTCACGTACACATGCACACACACACACACACACACACACACACACACACACACACACACACGCATCCAGCACCCTCTCATCTCGCCCATGCGGAAACGAGCTGCATCTCCATCTCCAGCACAAACCACAAAGCCGTCCCAGTGGTCACGTTTCTTTAATGATCGTGGAGAAAAACGAGGGCTCGGCTGTGTGTTTTTTCAGCAGCTGTCAAACACACGTCCCATTCAACACAATACGCCAGAGCACAGCCCGAGCTCGAGGAAAGAGGAAATACTATTACAGCACATGACACCGCGGAATAAAAGCACAATCTGGGAGCAAAGCAGCCCTAAGTACTCTCTGGTGAGAACAGTGTAACACGGAGCACAGGGGCACGGTGGGTGTAAGCCACCTTAACATGCAATATCAAACCTATTTTGGGACACACGTTGAAATGAAGCTTTGGGGCTGAGCGGTGCAGCTGGGAGCGTTTCAGCACCGCGGACAGCTCTCCTGTTGTCAGCATCCTCAGATTGGAGCGGGATGTCACTCCTCTCCTGGTAATAACACACCATCACACGCTCATATGTCCTCCTTACAATCATGCACGAGAGAGGGAAACACTTACACACCCCATCTCTCCCAAATCTGAAATGTCATCTGGTGTCTTATCCAAACGTTTCCGTGTTAAAACACACACTGGGATGTAGTAAGTCACCCAGCCCCAAACACCTCCACCACTACTGCTGCTCCTACCTCGTCATTCCCATCCCGGGGCCTCCGATCCCCATCCCTCCCCCGGCAGCGGTTCCGTTGACCGGCTTCATGTGCTGTCCTGCCCCCGGTCCTGCTGCGGGTCCTCCGGGCATCACCGACCCCATCATCCCGGCGGCTCCCGGCTCACCGGGCTGCCCGCCGCCCTCCATGCTCGCTTCGTTCCCCATCTCGGTCTCGGCTCAGGAGACGGGAGGGAGGTGGAGAAAGGTTGCAGGTCGAGTCGGAGGCGTCGCTTCTATGTCGCTATGTTGTCTGTTTTATTTTGGATAAGAATCAAAAAAGAATGAATGGAAAAAGGGGGGAGCTGAAAAACGGGAGAGCGAACTCAGCGTTGCTCCTCCATCACCGCCATCATCATCATCAGCTTCAGGACCAGTGGGCTGCCTCCTGACGTGATAGCGGGAGCGCGCCGCGCGGCCACGGCGACTGTGAGGGGGGGGAATAAAAGCGCGAGAGGCGAGAGAAACCGAGATTAGATTAGATTAGATCAAAGTTAAATGAGCCCCGTGGGCGGAATTGGGTCGCAGCAGCGGCAAGATTAAGATACAACGAGCAATATGGAGAGAAATGAAAAGGAGGGTGCACTCTGACCTCCTGCTGGCGACCATCAGGAGGAAAACAGACACAAATAGACAGAAAATTAAATTAGATTTTTCAAGGAGGTAGTCATTCAGGTTGTTTTATCCCCGAACCCTCTGTTCATAACTCGTATGAATGTGTTTTTATTTACTGTAATGTCCTCTGTGAATCTACCACATTGAGATTTATGCTGGTTAAACTGATTTTAAGATCCTCTGAATTAAGCAATAAACTAAATTACCACTGGGCCATGACACAAACAGATGTTAATAAATAAAATAACACTACATTAGACCTACTTACAGAATGGGATCACTGCAGTGTGTTAATGTACACCTTAAAACATAGGCTACATATTTTGTCTATAAGTAATGTTGATTCACCAGAAATCTTATAGCTACGTTTTAACCATTATACTCTCCTAAAATGATCCAAGTATTAGATTTACACACGGCTATTTGAAGAGCACAAGTGCGCAACCACAGACGCGGGCGCGCGCTCTGTGGCTGTGGGTGCTGCTGATGTTGAGCACACCAGAAGTGGAGTGTGGAGGGTGGAGGGAGAGAGGGAGGGAGCTACAGTATACGTGCGCGTTCACGTGACACTTTCTCACTGGAGAAGGGCATGAGGAGTGACGTGAGCGCGCAGCTCAACTGCACCGGAGCGTCACGTGTCCAAAAACACCCCATGGTGTTACACACCTGCTGGTACTCACTATTTATTCAGATTGATTTGCTCCTGGTGGCGCACAGTGGAGCTCCGGGAAACATTTATCTGTTGAGTCTGATACTTTGGAGGTTGACTATATCTGGACAGGCTACTGTTGGGTTTGTGTGTATTATAAAAGTTATAGGAGATGAAAGAAATGTGACTTCTGACAGAATACATAGGATTAAGAGCTATTAAATTAAAAAAAAAAACTTAAAATCATGCATGAGTGTGATTTATCAAAGGTTAGTGAGCATATAATGGCACATCATATTGCATTTTTATTTTCATGAGTATGTAAAATATCCAGTAGAAACACATTCAAATAAAGGTTGTGTTTTTAGACACGTTTGTTTGTTTGTCTGTTTTTAAGCTGGATGTGTCAAAAATGTGCTGCAACATTTAAATGGTATTTGGTTAATTTAGGCCAAGAGCCAATAAGCAAGTGATTAACCTTTGCTGCAGCCTGTAGGTCTGGATCCAGGTGGGTGACCGTGCAGGTGCAGGTGCAGGTGCAGGTAATGGATTTGTTTTTAAACCATTTTTAACATTATGATAAGGCATGTTTTTTTTTTAACTCATTTTCCATTTTGTTTTAAACCACTGCTCTCATTTAACTGATAAACATGGCTTCTGAATGTTATGTGATTGTCTGCCACTGCCCGAGGGCCCTGGACCCTAACAGGCTCTATAGGGCCAGATTCATTGTGTATCTGTTAGTTTGTGGTCATTTTGATTACTGAAAACTTATTTTGAAAATAAGCATAACTGAAGCAGGGTGACACAATGGTGCAGTGGTTATCACTGTTGCTTCAGAGGAAGAGGATTCTTGATTTTAACCTGCTTGCCCTTCTGTGTGCAGTTTGCATGTTCTCCCTGTGTCAGTGTGGTTTTTCTCTGGGTGCTCCGACTTCCTCCCACAGTCTACAAACATGACGGTTGACTGTTGACTATGATTTGTGTGTGAATACGAGCATGAATGGTTGTATGTCTGTTTGTTAGCCAGCAACCTGCCCATGGTTCACCCTGCCTCTCACCCAGTGTCAGCTGGGATCGGCTCCAGCGCCACTACAACCCTGAATAGGATAAGCGGTTATAGACAATGGGTGGGTTAGTAATTACACACTGAGTCAACTGATCATGGGCTTGAGGCAGTCCATGTGTCCTGGACTGTAGCCAGAAATTTGTGACTTGAATGAGACTAACTGAACTACTTAACTCATATTAAACTGTCTCACTACATTATGATTTTGTGGCCAGGTATTTCATTTTGAAAAAACTAACCACATTGCATTTTGCTCAATTATTTCTCTTCTTTATTTTTTGCATAAACAATCAAATTTAGTCAACAAAAAACATAGAATCCTCCTTGGAAAAAAAAATGTGTGTAATTTTGAAAGTAAACTCTTCTTTATGATGTGAAAATACCTAAATAACAAAACATATCGCAGACATGACCTCTGTGTCCACAGAGGTAACTACACCTCTGCCTGCGTCAAAATTCACATGGTCTACAATTCCAAAATTAATTTGTGTTTCACTTTAACCACAAGCAGGGGTCCACTAGGGGCCCGGAGCTCATTTATAGCTGAGGTTTCTTCATTTGCACTGACCGAGAGCAGCTGAAATGTTTTCTGTTCCAAATTTAAACACTTGAAAGACTGTTATCCTTGCCATATGTAATGTAACTTGCCTCATATTAATATCAGCTAGAGCAGCAACAACAACCGCAATAGCAGCAAGGACATCATTAACACCAACAGTAGCAAATAGTCCTCCACAGACACATTTTAGGGGCTGGAAGCAGATCCATTTTTTCTCATTCATTAAGAAATTCTGGATCTGGCCTCCACCCCACCCATCGATGCTGCTCCTGCTAGGTTTACTAGTCAAAGAGCAGTGTGCATCAAAATGGCTGGCATTACCATTAGAGGAAACATCGGAGAGATTCAGCCAAACATGTCTGAGCTTCAGTCAGACCCAGACTCAGATGAGGAGTCTATTTTGCACCAAAATAAGTGACTAGCAGACATGTCAGAAAGGTCATTAACATCATTTATTTGCTTGTTAGTTTGAAGGCTAACTGGCAGTAGCTGACACCACATTAGTGGTTGTGAAACAAACAATAATATCTGCTACGTGGTATCAAATCTGTTGCCCTGTTGATGTGTTTCCTGTATTAGACACTGGACACTGGCTTTAAAAATAGTGATGTTGAATCTCAGATTTTAGGGAAGTGCACTGACATCACTCCCTTCAGCAGAGGAATACAAAAATACCACCAGACTTTGTCTAGTGAAAAACTTGCACAGATACAAGTCAGTATACTCAAGGTCGGACATTTTAGGAGACAAAAACAGAGCAAAAGCACTTTTTTTTTAATGGAGAGGTTCTTTAACAGTTTTTAACAAGAACATGTTTAATAGAATGGAGAGATTGAGAAAAATGTATTGAATAAAGGGGCATTAAATCCATCCCATTCAACAATAACAACAAAGTCGGTCAGATAACAGCCTCCGAACAGCGTCTCACCCCCTCAGCCGCTGGGAAAAGGTCTGCTCTCTGTTCCGATGCCAAGTGTCTCCCTCTGCGGTCAGACTTTATAGAGATGAATAAACCCTGCCAGCTAACTTCAGCGCTGCATGTATACTGTGCAGCGTCTCTCTCAGCGTAGAGGAGAGAGACACAGTGGTGCTGGTGCTGCAGCTGCAAAAGATAGAGAGGAAAACAATTCTCCTCTAAGCCTCTTTCAGCTTTCACATTTTAATAATGCCATTAGTTTCCATTTTTATAAACTTGGTCACACTTTTTGTTCAGTCCAAGGCTAAAAAAACAGACATGGCCTTGGTTACATTTCAAAAATGTCAAGTGACTGTGTTTTCAACATTGACAACTTTTTACAGTTTTGAACTAGGAACAACTTGTGATCTCAGAGCTTCGAGAAAATTTCTATCCACAACCTCATGGATTATTGAGACTGTCTTTTCCCTGGATCACAGTAAACCCAACTGGACTTGAAGGCATCCGGAAATGTCAAGCAGAGGCAACACAGAGACATTAACATTAAGCACAAAACACAGCACCATAGAACATACAACAGAGCAGAAGCAGCACTGATGGTACACTCCAGCGGCAATACAGACAACTGCCTGTAATATATAACACACTCAGGTTTGAAGAGAGCAAAGAAACAGACAAAAACATGACTCTGAAAACCTTGAAGAGACGGCACAAAGCTCTCCACTGAGAAATTACAGAGTTAAAGAGAGAACTGAGGCACTTAAATGTAGCAATGCTGAATTCATTCAAAGCAATGCAAATGGAAAGCGAGCACTCCACAGGGACAACCCAGCTAAGTGCCAAACAGAGTCAGATATTGGCTTTGTACCAGCATGGGCATAAAGTAATTGTGCATCTACCGAGCACTCTTCATACTCTACTAAGAGCTATTGAGAAATGCTTGTTAGATCATACCTGTTGATTAATAACGCCAACGCTGTCTAACTTAAACACCTCTGTGAATATGCAAAGACAAGGTGAAAAAGTATAAGTGTGAGTATATCTGCTTTGTCATCTTTGCAGTGTGTGAGTAAGATTCGTTAAATGTTACATATAAATCACAAAGCCAGTCGTGCAGATAGTTTTGGCAGGAGGCTGGTTTGAGTCAAAAGTCCAGTGCCATTTTTCATTCTCAGTCTATTGCTGTTTGACAGAGAGATCTGTGAGTTATGCGCAGTGATTTGAACATTTCAGCATGGATATTCAATCTTATACTTTGGGAAAAGGATACTGTTATACATTGTAAGCACAAAGGTCGACTTACTACCTTCAGAGCTTTCATCCACATGAGTTTAAAAGCTGTATCACAGCCTGGCTTCATCCACAGGGCATCAAAAATGTCACTTGGGCGGCTCCAATGTAAACAGCGTCATTACTAGACCTTCAGACGTAGTATAAAGAGCCTGAGAGTATACAGTGGTGGAAAAAAGTTTTCGGACACCCTTAAAATTTTACACAATCTCAAATATTATCATGAAATATTTGTGGAAAAATCTTTTTTGTGTTTCAAAAGGTGTGGCTGCATTGGACAGATACAAACAAATACAAA